AGTATGTCTTTTGTCCAGCTGAAAAATCCATTTGACAAAAGATGTGCTTTTTCCACCATCTCCTGTGAGAAGAGAACTAAAGTGCTATGAGGTAAGAAGGAGAAAGTCAGTGCTCTCCAGCTCCATTTCTGCTTTATTTTCTTGGGCAACAGGGCTTACATTTTTTTGTTGAAGGAGGCAATGAGTAATTTTAGCAATTTTCTTCCTGCTCTAAAGAAAGTATTTGAAAACTATGCAGTTTTTGAAGCCTATTCTCAATTTGGGACTAATTCTATTCAAAATTCACTTGTGATTGTTTTGTGCAGAAAACAACATTTGCCGCATAAGAAACAACATTTGCAGCCCAGAAAAAAAAAATGTTTTCTGTTCAAATTACCCATGTTGAGCACATTGTCCCCATTTAAACTATTTTCTGTGCACGAAATTGCCTTTTCTATGTAGGAAGTCATATTTTGGCATAGATATATTATTTCCTGCATAGAAAATGCTATTTTCTATGTAAGACAAGCATGTGCAAATTTTGTGCAGAACTGTTCCTAAATTGTGAAGATTCTTGCTTGTCTAGTAGTTTTCTCATCAGGTTTTCTTAATATTCAACAATATGAATTTTCAATAATTTTTCAAATATTTTCCATCCTTACAATTGCAATAGGTCACAAGTGCAACGTTAAATTCTAGTTAACCCCTACTTGGTTGGCCCCTTTAGCAAGCTAATCATTTCATACTCACCAGATTTACAAAGCTCTGGTCTACTGGCTGAAAGGAATCAGGATTTGGGTTCTGATGCACCATTGCTTACTGGCTTGGAGCCAATAATGCTGAGAGGGCCTCTTTGACACACCTTTAAAGAATATGGGTAATGAAGAGAAAACACTGGTCTGTATTTATTGATTCAATTTCAGTGGAGTTGGGACAGTTTTGTTCATCCAAGAAAAAAAGAAAGCAAGAGAAGTGGTTTTGTAGATCTCACTTTGATATTAAATCCAGCAACAGTTGGTTATCAATAGGTTGATAGGGCTTGGAAGAGATTTTGCTGGAATTTACAATCAGCCAATGGAGAGGTAAAAGTGTTACCTCTACAGAGCAATATACAGTCTTTGAAGTTTCATTGCATTATCATACATTTCTGCCACATGTTTTTATGGCTGGTGTTATTGGCCAGCACTTTTTTTGTCCATTAGTCAGATCTGTACTCTGTGAGCAATGACCAATAAAGTCATGGTGAGCTGACTTCATTGGAAGCTGTGGAAGACCCAACTTTTCAACATCTTGATTTTTGTTTATATTGTGTTTTTGATGTTTTTATTAAGGCAGTTATGTGCACCTGGATGATATTTCCTCATTTTATTCCCTTTAAGTCTTGCTGGATTTCTTTTTATGGGCGTTATCTGTCTATTTTATTGGAAGGCACTGCTATTTTCTTATTGAATGAGCATTTATTGATATTTACAGATACCCTTGAGGAAGACATACCTCTTAAGGTGTCAGTCTGCAGCCTCTCTCTCAACTTCATTTGTTTCTCTTCCTTGTGATTATCTTTCTTTCTTTCTTTCTGCTCATCTCTCTTAGCACTTCCTATGATGCAGCCTGTTGACTCTCTTTTCTTTTCATTGTGGATCACATGAAATACAGCTATGTTGTAAATCTTGTCAAGGAAAAAGCAACATGGGACATACAGTAATAGAAATAA